CCCCAAAACCCCAAAACCCCAAAACCCCTTGGAGAAGTATCGCAATTAAATTAAACGAAATTAAAACTAATCTAGAATCATAAATGCATATTATCATTAAAAGTGGCAGCAAATTCATCGAGAGCTTTGTCAAAATTAGAGCTGGAATCATCATCAAAAGTAAAAGTCATCTCAGAACTTTAAGTATTCTACACACCTACAGAACAATTTATATACACTAATCTTATCTATAATTATACATACCTTAACTATCTTTTCTATCGAAGAATTAATTAACAGAACTTCGTTTGATATCACCGTCAATCTTAATCTTGTCTATGCAATTTATTTTTTGAACAATCTGAGTTTTATGATCATTTTTCCATATTTCAGGCTCAACCTACATATATGATCTCTCATTGAAATTGAACATTTAGCTTTTATTTTATTTCTTCAAGTTTTGATTACCAATATTGCTTGTTTCAAAATCTTGATAGCCTGCCAGCCATGACTTTTATGTTGCTCCCAAGGTTTTGTTTTAATAAGGGGTTTGAGTTAAATTGAGAGTCGAAGACTTGTTATCTCTGAATAGACTGAAGTTAGCGAATTAGTTCAGCTACTTCTGATTAGTATTTTCAAATTTATTTTTTGGTTTGGTGTTAGAATCTGATATTTGCTCTTAAGTCAAAGGCTCTTCTTAAATCTTGGAGAGGTGCCGATCCTTAGGCCTGCAAACAAAAGATTCATATCTCTTTCTTACTTCTCTCTTAGCGATAATTATGTCTGTAATGTAATCCATGTATTATCTTAATTCATCTTCTCTAATCTTGATTAGCGTTTATCAAATATCTTACCTTTTTTCTTATTTAGGATCTGAAACTTTATTATCTCTGTAATCCATTTCGTTCAAAATATAGTTGTATCTAATTTATTCTTAGTAAGTCATCTATCCAACTTTCTTTTTGTCACCTTGCATTTTCTCAGTAAGGGTTAATGATAATAGAACTAGATTTAGCTTTAAAATATTTTATATTATAATTTCATCTATTGCATAAAACTTCTATTTACTCTTATGGGGTTTTGGGGTTTTGGGG